TAGGACGTATTGTTCTTTTGTTATAGAAACAGGAAGGACAAAGTCGACTCATGTGCTCTCAGAAGTTGGCGAGAAAGCGAAAAGAAAAAAAACTGGTTATTTATTACGTTAGGTAATATTTTTTTTATATAATTGCATATAATTTTATAATTTACTAGCGACCCGCCCTCGCTTCGCTTCGGAAACATAAACACACATGAAACCAAAAAATAAAAAAATTAAATTAAATAAAGTAGCTTATGTTCATCAGGGACAATGTCGGCTTCTAATGGAAAAAGAATTTTTCAAATCGGTCCAGTAGTTTCGGAGCCTATTCGAAACAAACAAACAAACAAATCTTTCCTCTTTATAATATTAGTATAGATATCCCTATTGTAGTATTAAAATAAGCACATACATATTTTTTAAGTATTATATTTATGTTGAAAGTCCTGCTGCCCTAATGTTGAGGTTTTTTTTTAAAACAAACCCTAAAATAAAATGTTGAAAGCTTCTAAAATATCTTTAGTATCCGTCAAACGCAATCCCAAACATTAATACCACATTCTGACTTCCGACCGTTGCGGACGTAATCGAATAACTCAAATAAACTCAGGTGGAACTTTTCAATACGCTTCGTGACCATGACGGTTACGAATGAAATGTTTTATGCCGTATGTGAGCAAAATTGAATTATGTTGTTTTATTATTTTTAGGTCAGGCGATGTTGCGGCTATGTAATTGTTTTGTTGGTACTTGTTTAACTCGAATGTTATTGAGTACTGTTCTTGATTGTGAATTTCTCAGACTGTATTTCCTTTGTGATTTCTTTCTTAGGTGGTTTGTGAAGTCTGCCGTTAAATTATAAATACTAGTTAATTCTCTTTAATTTTAATTTGAAAGTAATATTGTAAAAGTATGTAATAATATTGCGCGTATTGTAGCTGTTGAGTCCCGTTCAGAAGTGAAGGTGGTTGTGTGTTTTGTACGTGTCGCGGAGCTAGCCGTTCCGCCGGTTGCCGCCCCCTCCCTCGCAGCGCTGCCTGCGTCTTTCCCGACTTTGCGAAGGAGGAGTTGATGCGTAAACAAGTACAGAAATTGAAAGTTTGCTATCGAAAAGTATTATTGGGGGTCTTTTAAAAGCAGGGATCAAGTATACAAATGATATTATTAAAATTTAGAATTTGACTAATCAATTACATATCGAGGATTAGATTTCAATGTTATATTGTAGTAAGCTGCTCTAAATTTTAATATCCAGCGAGCAAACCACTGAGAAGTCTTTTAAAATCTCGCTCAAAGTAGCTGCTTTATCCTTACCCTTATCATGGTTGATCTGCGTGAGCGACGGTGAATGCTCACTATCAGTTAGGAAAAGTATCTGTTGTTTGAAAGCAATGATAAATCAAAACGCTCCTATTGGCTCTTACATGTTGGCCTCCGAAAAGAGCTATTCAGTGTACTTAGTGCAAAGTTAACTCAAAATTGTATGCAGTTGAAACAGCGCCCCTAGCGGCAAACGTAGGCAAACGTTCCAACTCCATATAAATTTGAGTTAACTTTTACGATATCGAGAACGTTAAAAAACTCGCACTAAGCACACATCTTTAACTAATAATAAAATAGAAAATATCATTTAATAAAATCAAAGTTAAACGGATTACAAGCCTATAGGGAGTAATGATACACATCTGCCAGAATTGGAAGTGTTGTTTTGCTCATTTAGGGTAAGGGTAGCCGTTACTTTAAAGGTATTGAGAAATCTCATGTCTTAAAGATGGCAACGACATTCAAGGTATTATGCCTATAGATTAATTTAGCGATTTACTACCAACATTATTAACAATTTAATTATTTTGTAATATGTACATTAGTACATATTTGGGGCCTCCAGCGCAAAACTGGCCTAACCCACAATTTTCATATTCGTGCTTAAATTGCAATTTATTTAAAACCGGCTTATCCCTAGTTTCACCCATAGATAACAGATGGCTTTGTAAACATTATTTTTGCGCGTATTGTTTTTGCCTACGTAGCAGCGTAAAAGTAAATTCAAGCCTCATTATCTCCATACCAACTATAGTCAGTTTAGGCCACTTTTGCGCTGACGGCCTCACGTATAACTACATCCAGAATTCGTATCGAAAATCCTGTAATACAAAACACGTAGATCGATTCGTTCCAAACTTGCATTCTGTATGCCGCACCACAAAAACTTACCTCGATTCCGAGACATTATTCACAGCGTGTCTGCCGGTGCTCGAATAATGTAGACGAAATAAGACACAGTGTCATTATTGTGATCAGATGGTAAACATTAAGAGTCTCGACGCACCTTGTTAAGCCCGGCGAAGATTAACAAGCTACGTTTCTAATGAAACGGAATTGCGAAGGAAGTCACGCTAATTATAACCTTAATCCAAGCTCTGCGGTTGGTCATGAACTTTTGATTCGGTTGCTTAATAAGGATGTTGCGTTATTAATGGCTATAGTTCACCGTATGATTAGCATTTTGTTTTCCAATGTACATTTTAATTTTTAGGCCTTTTTTACTTACTTGTTTTTTTTTACTGCTTAGATGGGTAGACGAGCTCACTGCCTACCTGGTGTTAAGTGGTTACTGGAGCCCATGGATAATGGACATCTACAACGTAAATGCGCCACCCACCTTGAGATATAAGTTCTAAGGTCTTAGTTTAGTTACAACGACTGCTCCACCCTTCAAACCGAAACGCGTTACTGCTTCACGCCAGAAATAGGCAGGGCGGTGGTACCTAACCGTGCGGACTCACAAGATGTCCTACGACCAGTAATTACGCAAATTATTATTACATTATTACACGATGTTATTCCTTCACTGTGGAAGTCACTCTTCAACCTATTTATATATATTTGATTATTATCAAGATTATAATCAAATTTTATTTGTTAATAATGTGCTTTTATTAATTAATAGGGACATTTGTAGATAATTGCTTAAGACACGTACAGCTATATTGAATGGTGTGTTCAGTCAAGTCTCAGTTTTTAAACTGCTGATAAGGTATCTTCAAGACATCTATATTTATTTTTGATCTGAAATAACACGCAGTAAAATCATACAAGACGTTTAATGATACAGCATTTCTTTGAAAAATCTTCTTACACAAACCGATTATAGTAGGTAGATAAAAGTAAATTAATATTTGTGATATTTATATAGAGCTTATACAGATAGTCATAGTGAGATTAGCGACAAAATTTTAGTTTAACCATCAATTTTGATACTTGTAAATGTTATATATAAATTTATCGATATATTTAAAAAAATAAAATCACTTATACAAGGTGGGCCAAAATAAATCACCCTATTGGAAGATGCTTTTATTTTTGCAAATGGCCGCCAATGTAATTGCCAAATAGAATCAAAGTTTTTCATTTAGAAAAAAAAAAGAGAGCCAAACAACATCGGATGACTTCTTTTAGCCCATCTTGTAGTTGAAACAAAGTGACATGAACATGAAATTGATAAAGTTTTAGGTTCTGTATTTTTTATTAAATGATATATTTTTAAACTTTGTCGCAATCTAAATTAATAGTAGTGTTAAATAGTTAGGTATGAAATACATATTAGTATACGAAGTAAAGGCATTAAAGATAGAACTAGGGCTATTTTATAAACTGACGATATGAGGGAAAGATACAAAATATTTATAGAATACATCCAACATTTAAGCTTAAAAATTAAATATGTAAACTATAACAAAGAAAAATCTTGATTAAAAAAACTGATATTTACACGAGTCAGAGTTTTATACATTATCATTACATATTTATTTTATGTTGAACTACATTACAAAAATAATTCTTATAATAGTTTGATGATTCTATAATATAATTACATATTCAAAAGCGAACTTAAAGAATGAAATAAAAAATCACAGCAAAGTTAATAATCCCCTATCTAATATCTGTATTTCCACATTCCGATTGACTATAGGCATGCTAAATTTAGTGGTTTATCGTATAATATGATGCATTTTTTTTTGCCGATGGCGTAGGTGGAATTACGCTAAAAATTATTTTATTTAATCCTATCTATGCTTTATAACAGTCACTAAAATGGTGTCGTGTCTTACATACCTTTACAATAATTCTTAATTATAACAATTGTAATTAAAATTCGTAATTTATTAGGATAAAATTTTATTTTAACGCATGCAATGCTTATCTACACATCAACATCTTAACGAGCTATTCACATGAAACCCGCTTTTGTACTCGGTACAAATTATATCAAACAAAAATTAATGGACGTCAACGCTTACAATAATATTTAAAGTTTAGGCTGATGTTTGGTAACTACAAGTGTCACGACTATTAAGATGACCTAAAATATAAAAAAAAAATGTTTTTATGTCAAAGTCTGATGACACAAACGAAAATAACCATATAATTACGATCTTAAATTTCGTAGAAGCTGTTTTGATTAACTATTTTGATTAAATACTCGTATATTATCAAAACATGTAACGCTGTCTGTTACCAGATCCTTAATCGAGTTTCATTCGATAAGTCGACGGAATATGCTCAAAGTTTGTCCATAAATGGCGCATTACTCGTTGCCCGCCATAAATATTCATTTTCGGCAAAGCGAGAGGAAGTTTTCTGGGTTCTCAGCGCTTCAATTCGAAGTATCGGAATATTAGCGAATTTATGATCAAAATTGATGCGGCGGTACCACAAACTTTTTTTTCAGTATCGTTTAGTGAAGCAACATCCTAATACACTTCCTTACTGACGAATATTATGTATCTATTCTTGTAGCAGTAAGGCTACAATAGCCAATACATCCTATTAATCATAACATGCTGATATTCTTACACTAAGCCAAGTGTTAATAATAATTTTGATACTCGCGTTTTTTTTTCTATCAACAATTTATATAGGACGTATTTATATTGTTAACTCTGATAATAAGATGTCTCTTATTATATCTATATAATGCTGTCGCATTCACAATGGCATTTAGCTTCGATTGTTTATAGTCTAATTTTAATATGAATACACTAAGTTTGTCGAGACTGTCTGTACACTATAATGAGTGTTACTACTTCACTCTCACAAAAGTCTGGTTACAGTAGAGACTCTTCGAGTCGTTCGCGTTCGTACCATCAATCGCTTTCGTACACAGTTGAGTTAGAGCTCTTGCGGCGGCTGTATGGTGAGCAGAACTCGATCCTGGTGTCTGGCAACCAGGTGTACGCAGCGCGTTCCGAAGACGCACTAGAAATGAAAAATTTAATATTAGTTTCAAATTAAAGCAAATCTACTTTATACTAATATTATAAAGAGGAAAGATTTGTTTGTTTGTTTGTATTGAATAGGCTCCGAAACTACTGAACCGATTTGAAAAATTCTTTCACTGTTTGGAAGCTACATTATTTCCGAGGGACATAGGCTATAACTTTTTTTTTTTTGAAGAACATTAGGGATTCTTACTAAAACTCCCATAATGTAACCCAAGATGTAAAAAAACTACCTAAAATACTCTTTACATCGCGTGCCCTGCGAAAACTATTGATGATAGAATAAAAAAATGTACTACGACTTTGTAGAAAACATAATTATTTACAAAAGGTGTCGCGACAGCATATGTCTAACTATTATAGTTATGCCGCAATAAGTGTTCTTTTATTTAAAAAAAATAAAACAAAGTCAAATATCGTTGAAATTTTTGTCAAAGACCCGAGCGGAGCCGGAGCGGGCCGCTAGTATAATATATAAATATAAATATAAAATTATTTCTCTCTCTTTCAACTTCATGAAACGTGTAGTTGGTGCGGGCCGCGTGAGCGAACACTACACTTGCATAGGTCATGACGGGGCGTATGCAAGTTTTGTAGAGTGTCACCTTATTTCGAAGGGACAATTTGCTTCGCTTGCAAATCATGGGATAGAGACGTCCTAATATGAAGGCGGCACGGTCGCGTACCGTTTTGATGTGGGGTCGGAATGTCATCCCTCTGTCGAGGGTGACGTCTAGATATTTGACCTTCGAGGCCCACGGTATGGGCTGGCCAAAGAGAGCGATGGGGCTAACGGCGGAGGTGTTAACGCGCCTGTTAGGGAGTGGGCTGCTCGAAGTGGTATTCGGAGGGCGACTCCTTTTGAAAAGCACCGCTGCGCTTTTCGTGGGGTTGATGTCAATGCGCCACTTCCGGAACCACTGTCCCATGGTGGCTACTGCGATTTGGAGTCGCCGATGCAATAGCGACTTCTTCCTACACGAGTAGTAGATAGCCGTGTCATCGGCGAAGAGCACTAGATGGGTCTCCATAGACCGAGGTATATCATGATTAAGATTAAGATTCATAAGGTTTAAGGTTCGTGTTGTTTATTGTTAATTGAAATAAGTCGTTAGGTATCAGTAGATTTGATAACATTGGATCTTAGATAATAATAAACTTGATACTTAACTTGATACTTAACTTGAACTATACTTGATACTACCACTGTTACTATAAAAGGGTGCAAATAAAATTACATAAAAATTAAAAAAAAATAGAAGCAGTTGAAAGTAGATCCTGCCGCGAATAAGTTTTAAGTAAGTATAATATTAGGAAAATTTAAATATGTATAATATGTCAATATTTCACTAAACCGACATAAAATGTGGCGTGACATAAATACAGTCACACAGTTTGAATGAAAACCATTGTTTTATCAACGTTCGATTTCACTACCCATAAAATTTTCATTTTAGAAAAATCGAGTCTTTCATAAGGAGTAAGACCCAAAAAGATATCACCTATTCAAATTATTAGTCCCGTTCGTCAACAAATAGGTCGATATATTTTATGAAACAAGGGTCTATATTAAGACCAAACTAGCGCACATACCCGGTTAAACTTACGGCAGCTGTGGAAACTAAACGGAATTATTGACTTGTCGATTTGCTTAATTGACCTACGAAATAATGCCTAATAGACTTGCGACAATTTAATGAACCTACATTTAACTCGTTCCCTGTTCCGCGTCCAATTAACTTAACGAAATTCAAAAGCAACTCTGGAATACTATGTTCTCTTAATGGTATCCGAATTGAACGTCAACATGTACTAACAATCGGTGCATGTTCAGTGGACACAACAAAGGCGTAACCAGACCAAGAGAACTTACGTATTGTAATGCATTTGCAAAACGCTCAAGTATCTTTGGTTGGTCACAGCTAAATAAGCACTGAGACTGAAAACTAGGAAAGTGCAGTCCCAATGAACGTTCAAATGCAATGAAAATTTAATGTATTCGCGCCTTTGAGCGCCATCCACGACTCCTACGGACACTTGAATAAATAGAAGTACTATTTATCTTGAGCCAACGTAAAGTATGTTGTTTTAAAGAGAACCCCTATAGATCTAAGGTCAACGCTCTTGACGCTCCTTGTGTTAAGAGGTTATGGTTCAACACCATCCTACACAGGTCAAAATGGTGGTGTGTTTAGAAATTACATAAACAATGACATTGGTAAGACAATTTAAAAATATCATTGACTAGATCTGTAATATTCAGTATTCAAAACTGGCATATTGGTACCATATCTTTATTATTGGTGTTTTTCTTTCTCTCATGCAAAAAAATAACCGTATTCTATGACCGAATATCCTTTAAGTCCTTCGGTCATATTTTACGGTTCATTAGCCAAAGATACAAGATTTCTTTATTTGTATCTTTGATATTAACACTTATTTTATTCCCAACAGCGCTTTTATTATTCGTTTAAAATATCCAATATATATATTTTTTATATAAACTACTAAAGTATTTGCAATTCAAAACAAAACGAACAAACTTTACGAAAGGAAGAGTGCTTTTCAAATTATGAACAACGTAGTTGTTTTTTCTTTCCGAGGGATTTTTTACCGTTACATTTAGGGGAAAAATATAGCAGAACAAACTTCGTGGTTCGATTATTATTTTTGGAAAACTTCCAATGTAAATGTTGTTTCNTTTTTTATATAAACTACTAAAGTATTTGCAATTCAAAACAAAACGAACAAACTTTACGAAAGGAAGAGTGCTTTTCAAATTATGAACAACGTAGTTGTTTTTTCTTTCCGAGGGATTTTTTACCGTTACATTTAGGGGAAAAATATAGCAGAACAAACTTCGTGGTTCGATTATTATTTTTGGAAAACTTCCAATGTAAATGTTGTTTCAAGTTACGCTGTACCTATTAATGGACGTATAATTTGGCATTAAATGTTAGCAATAACGGACACAAGTAGGACACTATCAAAAGGAAATGAAGGCGACGCGAGTCTCCAACGAAATCCAATTTGAAATAAGTGCCTGCTGAATTAATCCGGCCACTTTGAGCGGGCCGGATGAAATTTCTGGTATTTTTCACGTCTAGCAATAAAAACGAGGGCTCGACGCGGGAAAAAGATGAGTAATAGTCACCCTCAGCATCGAGGAACTGCGAGGAATAATAATATTATGCTCGTACGATAGAAACCTTTTTTAATCCGGTAGTGTGTGGAGGGCGCCGAAAGCGATATTGGCTGGACGAAGTGGACTGCTGACTCGACATTACTTGACGTCTATCCTAACGAATGTAGGTTAAAACGAGTGTCAAACATTCGGCTTCTATGATGGAATGCAAACATTACTATAAACGTCTGTGCTTAGACACGAATATTTCTTTCGAGTTAATATTAATAAAGATAAGTGAGTTGTTTTCGATATTATCTGTTAATTTTAAAGTGATGAACAAAGAGAACACAAAACATGCCATTTAACCTACATATAGAGTCATTGAAATTCAAAAATATTTTATCGTCGGTAGCCACCGTATTTTATTTTGGATTTTTTTTTGTTTGAAAGTGTGGATTGATTATGTTAATGAATAATAAAAAGTTTAACGTTCAGACCTTCTGTAGCATAGATATTTAAATGGCCTTAATATTGATTTCTCGAAAATCATGATAGCATTTACACTTTAAGCAAGACCCTTATTGTGATCGTCCGTCTAATTGTATCTAACGGTTTTCAAAACGAATTTCAGATAAAATTTGCGTGTAGCATATTACGTAACAGCTAATAATTTCGCGAATGATAGACAAATGAAGAGACCGAAACACGTTATTAATCTTCACACATTAATTAGCATCAGAAGACACGTTCAAAGACCGAGGTTATAATTATTCGAAGCTCTAATTGTCAGTCTGGCTTTAACATTCAAAAACTTGTTTAATTACAAATTCGCATGAATACTTGCTGTGTTTTGAAGCGGTTACCAATAATTACGACTGTTAAATAATTTACAGTCCGATTATTGTGCTGCGGTAAGGTACCGTGTATTTTAATTTGACCCTCTTCAAAAAAGAAGTAGGTTCTCAATTCGACTGTTTTTTTTTTAAGTGAACCTCAGAACTTATTTTCGGTGAACCGATTTTGATGATTCTTTTATTTGAAAGCACGTGTTTGTCGTTTGATCCAATTTAAATTTTATCAATATCTGATCAGTATTTTTTGAATTATGTTAATATCGAATTGCCTTCGACTTTGTACAAGACTTGATAAAACTTTGTATTATGTAGTAAAGCAAAAAAGCCAAAATTTCGCTTGTTTTATTTCAAACTTATCAATAACATTGTTTTTAGTGTGGTATTTGAAAAGGATGGTATACAGAACCTTTTTTTTTTATGAAATCTTGCCCACCACATTACGAACACAGCTGTACTGTAAAATTGAGATTTAAAATGTACATACCTGGGTTGCCGCATTTTCGTTGTTGATGTCTATGGGCTCCAGTACCACTTTACACCAGCTCGATCGTAAGCTCTGATCGAACTTACAGACAGACTTAGTATACAATTGTGGTTTTAATAATTTCAAATCTCGTGGTGGGTGGCTATAGCCGCGTTTATCCTAACTGGCTTACTCACGAACCACTGATGTTAAATAGCCATTTAAAATAATCAAGTCGAGTATTTTTCGAAAGATTTAAATATCTACTCAATCTATGAACATGAAATCTTAAGGTTTTCGTGAGATAACTTAAGCGACTGCGAGCGATTCCATGTAAATTAACAGATAAGCTTTATGTTTTTTTTTTACTGTAGGTACGTGTTAATTAGACAAACCCGTCTTTATAGGCATGATAACAATGATTCAAATTCAATGATTAAGAAATCATTGATTTTGTCTTGATTAAAATTTGGTTCTAAGGAAATAACTTGAATTTTTTTGTTACGATGGAGCATAAATAAATAAACACACTA